TGGTTTTAGATTTTGTGATTATAAGATAAAGAGTTAAATTTCAATAATGTGTTGAGATTTCTTTTTCCTTAATGAGAAGTTTTTTTTTTTTTTTTCAATTTCTGCGTGTATATATATTTAAGAAGCCTTCTTGATCGTCACTCTTGAGAAACATACAATGCTGAACAAGAGACATTGCTCGAGTGTGGAATTATTACCACATGATGTTGTAGAGCTCATCCTCCAGAGACGTCCTGTGAAGTCTCTGTGCAGTTTCAAGTTTGTATCCAAGAATTGGAAATCCACAATTGATTCCAAACGTTTTCAAGAAAGACAGTTCATCCGTCGAATGCAATCACCAGATCCTGATGTGTTTTTCCTATCCGTTGATCGTACTGATAATAGTGTTAGGAGGAAGAGAATTGTGTTGGGGTCATCCATATTCTTTACGCTCAACCTCCCTTTTCCGACCAACATGGTTTGTTATGGTACTTGTGACGGTTTCTCCATAACAACGAATATCGTGGCGAATCCCGCCACTAAATGGCATCGTACTTTTCCTCTTTCCCAACTTCAAGAGGTCATTTTCGACATGAGGACCGATAAAAGAGTGTAGCCACCCTCAACTTCTAACCTAGGATTCGGCAAAGACAAATTCAAGGGAACGTACAAGCCGGTTTGGTTATATAATTCATTCGAACACGGACTAGACAGCACCACTACCACTTGTGAGGTTTTCGATTTTACCACTAATGCTTGGAGGTATATTCTCCCTGCTTCTCCTTATGAGACTCTTGCTTACCAGAAGCCTGTGTATTTCGACGGGTCACTTCATTGGTTAACTGATCGTGAAGAAACTAAGGTAGTATCATTCGATCTTCACACCGAAACTTTTCAAGTCTTATGTAACGCTCCCTTTGCCCATGAACTACGTCACCCTCATAGTGTCATCATGTGCATCCTTGATAATCGCTTGTGCGTATCCGAAATAAAATGGCAAACTCAAGTTATATGGTCGTTTGATTCTTCAATACGCCCTCTTACCAGTAGCAATTCTGAAGAAGAATAAGTTATTGCTTCATGGTCGTGAGCACGCGCAACCGCTGGTGATACATGACCTCCTTACCAAATCTTATGATTTAGTCTTCAAGCCTACCACCACTGAATATTGTGGTTTTTATTTTGAAAGCTTCTTATCTGTTTGAACAAAATATAGTCCAATGAAATCATTGTAATAAAACATTTTCTGCATTTTAATTAGACCATGATTATAGTGTTTTGTGGTATATCTCATATATATAAAGGCAAGAAAACCAAGTTTATTGCTTGTACTAACATCAGCCTTTCCATTTTTGTGATATTGGCATTTGCCTTGTGGATGCACTTGAAATACAAATTAAAACAAAATCTAAAAGCAGGAAAACCAAGTTTTTTGCTTGTACTACTTCTCTAAGTTCTCTTGATCTCTCTATCTAGCTATCTTCATTATTTTAATATGTACTTAAGCAATTGATAGATAGTGTAATTAAGTTTATGCTCTTTGTTATTATACAGCTAAATCAGACCAATGAAAAAAAATGTTTGGAATAAAGCTTATAAATAGTGTATTTAAGGGGGCAATTACAAAAATGTCATTTTTTGTGTGCACATTTGCAAGAATGCCACTTAGGGATGTCCATTTACAAAAATACCACTAATTATAGATTTATAAAGCCTATATCTTAAAATTCTAAACCCTAAAAAATGTTTTGACACCTAAAACCCCCTAAACACTCAAAACTAAACCCTAATAGAACATAATTAACCCAAACATAAATAATATAAAGAAAAAATAATTTTGAAAAAATGGCATTTTTGTAAAGATTTCAAAAGTGTGACATTTTTGTAAAGTGACACTTGAAAAGTGGCATTTTTTGAAATTTCTCTTTAAGATTTGCTTATTTGATTATTTATAAGAAAAAAAGAAATCTCAACAAATTTAAGAGTTTTTCGATAAATGGTTTCAAAAAAAAAAAAAAAGTTTTCGATAGATAAATTAATATGTTGATATTTCTTTTCTTTTTTTTTTAATGAAAAGAAAAGAAATTTGATTTGAAGTTTTCCTTTTTCCAATTCCTAGTCGGACTACATTTCCCTCCGAGTTCGGAAATTCAACTTCTGATATTTGTTTTTCCTATACAATTAGTGCCACATTTGTCTATAGAGCTACGAATGTCTCTAAGTTTTTTTTTGTGTAACGATTGAATTGATATCCTTAAAAGCGGTTACACTCCAAAGAGGAGAAATTGTTCGAAATCGAAATTACAACAACCACCTGACAACTACAACAGAACAAGAATGTCTCTAAGTTAGACAGAGAAAGTTGTAACTCAAATGCATTGTTCTCTACACATAAAGTGTTGTGTATTTAAAATCATAATTGACTCTGTTTAGATTCACTAATAATGTGTTGGACATCATTACGAATAATGTTTTAATTTGGTTATATAATATGGTTTCCCCTTTTTTCCTCTAAAGAGCAATTATAATTGTTGAAGATGATCTGCAAACATTTGATTGGATTATAGCTGATCAAAATCTCTTTTAGTAGTAGTTATACTTTAGAAGATTTATATAACTAAATCCGGATATGTAAAATAATGGATCAATCTAGATGTTTCAATAATCACCAAAAGGTAATTTAATGACATAATAATGAAAGAAGATAAATAGAAATACAATAAAAAAGATAGATTTATTTTAAATGCTATTATAATAAAATACATAACAAATGTTAAATGCAATTATAATTAAATATATATAATAAATGTGAATATGATATATATCTCCAACATATAGTAAACATGTCATTTAGTATTCAATGCAAGTTCTCTTCTTGTAGTGTATATATACAAAGGTAGTAGATACACAAGTTTTCTATTGAGACAATACAAACAGAAGAAGAAAATGGCAGGAGACAAATTCCCACAACGTCCAGGCCAACCAGACTGTGTCGGCTATCTTAAAACTGCATACTGTCCTCTGAAAAAGAAATGCAAATATCATCACCCTAAGAATATAACACCTTCAGAGTGTTATGTCAATGCCGTGGGCTTACCGCTAAGACCTGGTCAACCCATTTGCCCGCATTACAGTCGCTTCGGCCTCTGCCAATCAGTTCTAGCTTGTAAATTCGACCATTCTTCTACCAATGCATCATCCTCAGGTAGCAAATGATGAAAAAAAAATGAAAGTGAATCAAAGTGATGGTTGGAATTTGGAATTGATATTCCTTTCCTTCCGTATTTTTCTTATCTATTTTATTGTATATTAACTATCAAATAATGTAATAATCTATCTTTGTAATATATTAACCATCAAATAATGTAATAATCTATCTTTGTAATATAAATAAAGGATGCTATATAACTTTATGGATCAACCTGATCGCCATATTTAATTTGAGTTTATTTGAGTAATTAATCGATCCCAATAAGAGTTTCTACCTTATTTTAGGAGCTTTATTTAGTGTTTACATACCAAGAACAAAAAAAGGATCACAACAACAGATAATTGATGCCAATACAAATGCAAATGAAGAGACTAAATACTAATCTTTAACTAAATTGAACCTACCGAGAATTTTAACAAAGTATCTTCGCGTCAATCCCTCTCAAACCATGATTGTTGGGGTAGACACTTCAGACTCTTCCTTGACTGTGTCACCTCGAAGATAGAACATAAAACAAGTTAGTGAATGCGCAAGCTAATCTCAAAGGCCACTTCTAATCAATGATCGTATCCATTCCCCTTCACATTAGGGTCTAAAACGTACCGATTCTTTACGCTCAAGCTCCCTTTCTCGACCAACATGGTTTGATACACATGTACTATCTCGACCTCTCCATAACAATGAATCCCGCCACTAAGTGGCATCGTACTTTTCTTTTTTCCCGGTTACAACACCTCATCGTAAGTTCCAAAAAAAAAACCTCATCGTCGACATTAGGACTGATAAAAAATAGTGTTTAACCCCACAACTTGTGAGCTAGGATTCGGTAAAGACGACAATTTCAGGGGAACCTACAAGCCAAAACTTTTCAAGTCTTATGTAAAGCTCCCTTTAATTTACCCATGTACGTCCCCCTCACGATGTCATCATGTGCATCCTCGATAATCGCTTGTGTGTATCCGGCCAAACCAAGTCATATGGTCCTTGTTTTATACTTCAATCGGCAACAAGACATGGAAGAAATTGTGTTGCATGATAAATTAAATCTCATCAAAACTTTATCTCTTGGTTCGGGTATATGTATTCCGAACACACCTTTTTTTACCAGTCGTAGTTTTGAAGAAGAATAGGTTATTGCTTCATGGTCGTGAAAACTTGCGACCGTTGATGATGATACTGATCTCTTTACCAAATCTTATGATTTAGTCTTCAAACCTACCACCACTGGATTTATTGTAGTTATTATTTCGAAAGCTTAATTATTATTATCTGTTTGAAACAACATAATCCATTGAAACCATTGTAATGTAACAAATATATACATATTCGAAATTGAATTGATTGGTTACTAGAATGTGTAGTAGGTCCATCGACAGAGAGTGTGGGAGACATTTTCAATTTTTCAGCAAACGGCTATAATCCAAACATGGTGGCGCTTCGTTGTCAAATCCATTTTATTTTAAACTGTTATTTATCAATAATAAATAAATGTTTTTTTCAAATAAGCAAAAAATAAATTACCAGATAAGCCCCCACTGACTTAATTCTCTTTGCCTTTTTTTTTTTTTCTCTTCGAAGAACTCTGCCGCGTTTTCCTTCTCCGATCTTTTTTTCCCTTTTCTTGTATTTTCGTTTCTTCAAATTAGGGTTTTTGAGATAATTTCGATGCGGTGAAGCTTTGTTTTAGCCGGAAGGATTTCTGGGTTTGTTCTTTTTAGGGTTCGTTTAGTTGAGAGAGGGAAAATTCCGGCGCCGGAATCTGAAAATTTCCGGTAGTAATGTCGTCTGATTTACCGATGAACCCTCAATTGGAGCAGATCCATGGAGAAATCCGTGACCATTTCCGTGCCCTCGCGTATGCTTTTCTCTAACTATTTCTTCTGTTTCATTATGTGTGTTTCTGATTCGAGTGTGCATTATCAAATGTGGTTACAAAAACAGTGGAATTTAGTATCTTCTTGGTGATAGAATCGTACGAAATTGGAATTTTGTTTCATAGACGAGAAAATAAGAGTGGATATTTAGTAAAAGAGGGAAAAAAAATTGAGTTGCTCAATAGATTTTATGTGTGTTTGTTCTGAAGATAAAAGAGTTAGGTTTTTCTCTATTTGCAGGAATGGTTTTCAGAGGTTGGATAAGATCAGGGATTCAACTAGACAAAGCAAGCAACTTGAAGAACTTGCAGAGAAGATGAGAGAGTGTAAAAGGTATTGTTTTTTTTCCTCTGAGATGTGTTAGAATCTCGAGTTTTTTACTGCTCGAACTTTCCGGGTTTGATTGAGTGATTGAATTTTTGATTTGAGCTAATGTTGCGAGTCGTGGTAGTTTTTGAGATGGATGAGATGTGTAATTACGAGTAGAAGATAGTTTTGATGTGTTAGAAAGGATTATTTTCATGGTTCAAGAATCTATCATTTTGTAATGTAATGTGGCTGCTTTTCAGGTTGGTTAAGGAGTTTGATCGTGAACTCAAAGATGGGGAAGCTCGAAATTCTCCTGAAGTACATAAGCAATTGAATGATGAGAAACAATCTATGGTGAGCTCACTTCTTACCACATATAATCCGTGTTGATGAAATTTGTAAAGGCCGTGATTCTTTTGAGATTCTAGGTAGTGTGATATTTTTGAAGTGATCGCTAGAATATTAGCATAGCACCTTCTTAGAGTTCTACTTTCGTGCCTTATTTGTATTTTCTTTGGGTCAGCATCGAGAAGCAGTTGTGACCCTTTTATTTCTTGCTAGCATTTGGTTTCTATGTCTTTTTCAAAGTTTGCTTGTTGATATTTCCCAATGATTTATGTGACAGATTAAGGAACTCAACTCTTATGTTGCACTAAGAAAAACGTAAGTTCGTCTATCATTTCACTTCCAAGATGCTGCATTGTACCTATATTTGATTTTCTCATACCAATCCTTTTAGCAAATGTGTTTAAGATGTTTGTTTTTCGAAAAAGATATATATCGGAATGTGTCAACACATGTCCATTTGTTGTGTGACTTCAGGTACTTAAATACCCTCGGCAACAAGAAAGTTGAACTTTTTGATACGGGAGCTGGAGTCAGCAGTGAACCCACAGCGGAAGAAAACATCCAAATGGCTTCATGTGAGTCCGTCTATATGGGTTGTTAATATGAATTTCTTCTGCAAACAGAATATGAATTTGCTAAAAAATCTAAAAATTGACTTATTGGAGATTAAAAGTAATCTGCTTGCTGCTAACCATGCACTATGGGCTAGATGGTTCGGCATCATTTGATGTGTTTCACTGAGTTTCTAGTGGAAGGTGATATAGATAGGACTGTAACTGTTACCTTTTTAACCTTTTAATGGGTTTACTTTAGCAGTTTGATTGCCAGTAAATTTCTAGTGGAGGGTATCGTTTGTCCTACATGATATCCTGATTGAAGTTTGTAACAAGTATAATAAGGAGGTTTTGCTTAAAGATATATACTATGGGAAAAGTAAGGAACTTTGATGTTTTGCCATGCCAATCCAAGAGGTTATGACACTTGTTTTATCGTTTGTATATAGCAATGTCAAACCAAGAGCTTATCAATGCTGGTACGCAAAGGATGGACGAGACTGACCAGGCTATTGAACGCTCTAAACAGGTAAACTACAGTGAGAAGTGTGTTTCACTCAGTATTTGATGCTATTATCTCTGGTAACATCCGTGTTTCTTTTCAGGTTGTGCATCAGACAATTGAAATGGGCAACCAAACCGCATCTAATTTAAAGGGACAGGTAAAACGAAGCATTTATCTCTTCCTGATATCCTTATGAGGAGTACAGTCCCAAAATACGCTGACCTGGAAATTTTGCAGACGGATCAAATGGGCCGTGTTGTTAACGACCTAGACACGATTCAATTCTCTATCAAGAAAGCCTCGCAGCTGGTGAAAGAGATAGGGAGACAGGTTTGTATAATCCTCTCACTGGACATAAAATTCTCACAAACCGCAAAAGCTAAAAACTGTGTCTACTTCTTTCTTGTCTCAGGTAGCTACTGATAAATGCATAATGATGTTCTTGTTTCTCATTGTCTGTGGTGTTATAGGCATTATCATTGTGAAGGTAATAATACCATTGTCCTCTCCCCAATTTTTCATTGCTGTCCATATAAAGTTTTTGGATTTCTTGAGTAGAATTCTTAACTTTGCTTAAACAAAACAAAACCGTAGATCGTGAACCCAAACAACAAAGATATCAGAGATATTCCTGGATTAGCTCCTCCAGCGCAATCGAGAAAGCTACTGTACTTGAGGAACCCATAGTAAGTACATAGGAGAATAGCTTGGTGGCTAGACCGTGGAAACTCCACGGCTAGCGAGGGTTTGGTGCACATTACACTTTCTGTTGCATGTATGCTTTTGATGAAAAGCTCATTTGAGAATCTGAGGTTTTATTAGAGGTTATATTATATCAATCATTCTTTTAACTTATGACCCTTTTTTGTATAAGTTTATACCAAGTTCAATTATAAAAAAAAAAAAACTTCAAACTAATTTGTATTTGTCCAGTGATACCATCTTGAATACTGAACCAACTGTAATTTCATTCCATTTTTTAAAAACTTTCTCATGATCCACCAATTTGTATATATTCATAAGGTATGAAAAGTTATAGTATTCAGAGTGATATAAAAAGAGGAAAAAAATCCAATCCAGGGCTACTGCACACACTCAGAAGTCAGAACTGTTTGGATCATAAAGAGTAAAGACCAAATCGGGTCCCGAGCTATAATGCGTCTGGTGAAAACATTTATAACCTTTCAGAGACCCTACAAATAATTTTGCCAA